TGCTTAATGCTTTAATTCAGACAAGATTGTACTGTAGCACATTACACAAGATTTTACTGTAGGACATATTACACAAGATTTAATTGTAGGACATTACACAGGATTTAATTGTAGCACATTACACAAGATTTTACTGTAGGACATTACACAAGATTTTACTGTAGCACATTACACAAGATTTAATTGTAGGACATTACACAAGATTTTACTGTAGCACATTACACAAGATTTTACTGTAGCACATTACACAAGATTTAATTGTAGGACATTACACAAGATTTAATTGTAGGACATTACACAAGATTTTACTGTAGGACAGTATACACAAGATTTTACTGTAGCACATTACACAAGATTTTACTGTAAGACATTACACAAGATTTTACTGTAGCACATTACACAAGATTTTACTGTAGCAAATTACACAAGATTTTATACAGTATACAGTACATTAATAACATTATGTACCTGGTATATATATATGTAAACAATGAATAGATAAGAGATTGAAGAAAAGCCTTCACATTATCTCAGGCAATTCTAACACCATTGCTATGGAATCAAAGACATCAAGGATGAATTGAGGACACACTTGGAACGGCTACCATGATTGTTTCAGTTGACCAATAAACAATGAACTACAAAGTGCCCATTAGGTACCACTACCATATATCTACAGTATTGCCCTTTGAAGACACTTGACATTGATTGTTCTAGTTTACCCATCTGTACAAATAGATATATATTTATTTTACCTTTTAAAAACAATTAACTTCATCCCAGGTGCTCCTACCTCAAGGTATGTATAAATCCTGTATCATTGAAAAACAAGGCACTTTACCCTTGTGTACATTTTGACCCCATATTTGTTGCACCCTTCCAAAAAAAACAAATCATTTTATTCAAACCAACACTTTAATAGTTGAATCTTTGGGTGTGTTGTCAGGGTATTCCTACCTATATATCTTGGACTAAGAGATTTAGACCATATGCTTCTTCTCAATTTGATCAAGTATGATGATCTAAAATCTATCCTGGATGTGTCTGCTGTATCCTTGAACAATGTACATCCATCTAACTGTATAATCTACCTAATTTGGTGCTGTACCAGTTATTGTAAGCATCAAGTCAGAAGTGAAGTTTTAGTACACTGGTAACATTACAATTATTTCACTAATTATTACTTTCTTGCATTTAACATATCATTGTATAACAGCCTTCTTGAAAAAGTCTGTTATTGTATGGCACACCCAACTTTGTTCTGTTAGATTTTTAGTGGATATAATTTAATCCTCATGATAATTTCACAAACCAATTCAAAATTTCAAGACAAATATTTGGCACCCAGAAAAATCTGCTGTTTAAGTAAACTAAATCTAAACTGTCTGCAACAAGAATACTAAAAGTTTTCATATTTATTTCAGTTCATTAAGTCTGTTGCAGAGGTCTTGGAAAAGGAGCGGAAATAGCCAATCACTATTAAGTTGAAACCAGACAAGGGTGAACTGTCAATAACACAAGAATACTTTGTAGTTCAGATAAAATGGGATAGGTTTATAGGTAACACTTCTATGACAAAACTTCACCTTTTAACAGATTACCTGTTTGTATATATAAATGTACTTCTACCATCCAAACACAGGTATCGTAAAACCACTGACAAGGATACACTCATGTAAAATGGTTTTTAAATCACCTGAAATCTCCATATTATAAATTGAGTGTTTAACACAATCTTTTGAAGATGGATGGTCTTAATTTAATTTCTGCTTAAGTTTTATAAATTGATCTTTTTAAGTTTTATAAATTGATCTTAATGGCAGTGTTTTCAATTTATTTCCCAGATAGAGAAATTATTTCAAAATGAAAGCTAACTTTATCATGGCCTGATTGAAATGTTATTAATACAGATATGATCTAACTGTAACACACCCTGAAGAAAGGCATGTTGTTTAACGGTAACCACCCACATACAGCAAGTCGACGGGGCAGTAGACGGGGCGACCACTCAGACATACAAACAGCCAACAAATATGTAATGATAAACCATACACAACACTTCTATTGATTCAAACCTTACTGTACTAACAACCCCTAAACATTTCTCAGCTTCAACCAACCGGTAGGGATTATATATATTGTTTCCTTTCATGAAATAAATAATTGAGAAGTATGGTAAAGGACAAATGGTTTCTGCAGTAAAACAGTACTTTCTATCTGCACACACAACTCTGGGGTTATTGAAATACTTGGAAATAAGCCAGTAGTAACAGGTGGGCAGAGAAAGGGTTTATAACAGAAAAGAAACCGTTTTGAAATACATATGTATACACAAAAGGGCACTTTTTATAATGATCCACCTTGCCTGACTTCAACCTTTAATAAAAGACAGTGACAGTATCATATATTCCTAGTTATATACATGTAAACTGATCATGACCAACCTTGAACTGAGAATGAGTCTGTTCGCTCAGACAACGTGATAAAAACAGCTATAGTTCAGTTAATATTACCGGTACATCAGTGTAAGGATTTTCAAAAACTCAATGGTAAACTTGAGTTGCTAATAAAATGTGCGACTTGGGGTTTGTCTTTTGATAGACATATTCTGATAAAACTTATTTTAATCACCTGTGGTTAGGATTATGGTCATGTGATGATGGTTAACAAATATAACTGGCTTTATATGATCTGCATCCTAAGTTCCTACAGTTGGCTAATATCTAACTGCTACGGTATGGTAACCAAATAAAACAGCTACAATGCATTGAATATATCATTCAACCCTTTGATTCAGAAAACGGACAAAACAATGAAAATTTTAACATCTTTAACAACTTTGTGTCCAATCACTGAATAATTAGTATCAAAATGTGAAATTTAGTAATTTGAATGCTTGTAAGCTTGAATTTAAGTTTTTACAAAATTTCACAGAAATAGATAACTATGTTGGATTTAGTGCCTTAATTGTGTACAAGAATCACCATACTGAACTTAAATTCCAGGTTTTTTTAAAAGTTTAAATTAAAATGACATCTAACTGGCATATTTGTTATTTTTTGCTGTGAAATGGAAAATGAGCAGATCAATCTCAGGTTATGTTGTATCAAATATACTTGTTTTCCATTTGACATTCTGGAATTTGGTATTTGTTCGTAAATGTTCGACCATTCATTTCATCTCTAATCAATACACAGGGGTGTACAACTCCTCCAACCCAAGGCCAAGTACAATGAGATTCTATATTTACTAAATAATGTTTAAAACCTTTCTGGTGGCATGGGCTAGTGAATCCTATTGTATACCCCTGAATACATCTTTTTGTTACATTCCATGAAATATATAAAAGACTGCTATATCTAGCCCTTAAGTTATCTTCCAACTTTTATGCAGCCAGAATAACATATTACATGATAATTAAGATGTTGCAGATAGTCTAAAAATAAAATTAACAATTTATAATAATTATATCTCAAACAAGCATAAATAATAATAGTATCTGTGGATAATTTATTTTCATGGGGTTCAAATTTCGTTGTTTTCATATACTACCCTGTTTCAAGGACATAATATTTCGCTGATTTCTGATTTTCCCCTATCTATATCATATCGAATTCATGTTTTCATGGGGATTTCATTTCATGGATTTTTGTTATCCAGGAAATAAACAAAATTTGATTGTCCCATGAAAATTTATGATTTTACAGTACTGTATACAGGGAATTTTTTGTCCTATCAAATTTTCGCTCTTCACTGTTAAAATCCATATTGGCCCAGCTTTAATTTTGCCTTTTACATTTAACTTAAAATGTTGATTTATATGCAGAAAATCTTAAAAATACACAACTCGGAAACTTATATATATTAAAGTACACAAGTACTGAAATATCTTATGTACAGACTCTAAAATGAATGAGTACCAAAAAATGTTTCCAATGCAACCCCTACTGTCAATGTAATAGTTGAAACGTGTCTATATTCCTGAAAAGTTCATCTGAATTGAAATATAAATATTTCATTCTGTCTATTTCAGCTTTTATGAGCTTTGGTTTGGTTTAGAATTCATAAAAAGAAAAACTATAGTATCGATTATTTTCTGTCTTGTGTAATTTTATAAAAACTGAAACACTACTTATTCATATTAGGAAGGTGGCAAGGTTTGTCAATATTTAAATAAAACTTGAATTTATATCTTTTTGGTATTTAATGTGTTGTGCAACTTTGCAAATATTTGTCAATTTGAACAAAATGTCTTTGAAATGTCTTTTTCTGTAAAATGGCATGCATTCTTTAAAATACAGACAGGGGTAAAAATGATGCTTCCCTGTAGTTTCTGTACATACAGTCTTATCTTCATTTTAGAGGGGGCTTAAGAGCAAAACATTTATCGATTTTAATCTTATTAAGAAAAATCAAAAAGGATATAGAAGAACAAAAAAAAAACTTGAACTGAGCGTATTTTATTAAAAAAAATACATCCGAGTAAATTTGTTAGGGTTTATTTTCCTGCTAGTGCTAAGAATAGTTTACCCAAATGCTGAAACATATATATCTTTCACTGAAACTTTTTATCCGGGTACCAGTCCTGAAATATCCCAGTTTCAAAATCTCAGTTTGTAACTTACCCTGTTAGAAAATGTTTCCTATCATAATTTTGGTTATACTGATGAACATTGACTGAACAGTAGTATAATCAGTCATTAGTCAAAAACAGCCATATCCCTTGAAAAAATAAAATAAAGAGGGGGCGTGGTTAAAATTTAGTTATTTCTTAGTAAATCAATCATCCTCTTTAACTTGTAACTGTTGTCATATTGGGAATTTACAACCTCTAAGAATAAGCTGATATCATCAAATGAATTAATCAAATGATTCTTACAATTCAAGTATAGTGCTTTGTATATTTAATTTCTAGAAGGCTTATGAGATATAATTACAGTAGCAACACCTGGGTATTGCAAAAATGCAAAATAAAATTTCAGCTATTAATTTACTCTTACCTTGTCAACACCATCGGTATTTGCATCAACTTTCTTTTTTAGCTGCATGTATTGCCACATTTCTGAAATAGGTCTGTCAGACCTATCAATTAAATCATTATTAGACGGAATTGCATTCAACTGTTCCATCTGCATGCTCAATTTTGCCACTTTAAGCTCCAGTTGATGGTAAGGAGTACCGCTAGTTTTGCCGGTTTCACTCGTGCCATCTTCAGAATATGTGGAAATACCACTGTCTAAGTCACTGAGACTTGACTTCTCTCGTCTTGACAATAGATCCAATTCATTTAAATCAGCTGTTGAATCGGTAATTTTCAATTTCTTTAACATAGCATGGAGCAATGAATGAAGAACGTTGAAATTAACAGCCCCTATTTCTGGTGTACCCAGGGCTAGATCAACCATCTGGGGTAACAACACTTTTGTCGGCATCTTGGCTGCTTCTGTTACCGACGAATGACAGCCAAAAAATAAGAAAAGGGGATTTAACACTCCAAACAGCAGTTACATGTCCGGAATCACATCGTTACCGACCCCGTCAATACCATGATTTTCTCCTTCACTGTTTACAATAGGAATAGGATTACTGCGCCTTCACTTCCGGTTCAAAAATAGCCGACTTGTAAAAATCGACGTTTTTTATTTACCATCAAGATAAAGATTAATCAAAAGATGTATACTAACAAAGAATCTTAATTCTAACAGTTACTTCCTCATAAAAACGGTTTAAAATTATATAATAAAGCAAACTATATTTTGATAAAGGCGTGCTTTGGCGCATTGACTGTCGTTGCTCTTGGCAACACGAAGCTAAAAGATTTCTACTTTCGTACTGCATACCACGTGATGTGTTACATTCAGGAAAATGAAATCCAACGTTAAATTAATTTCGAATAAGCTTCGATACATTTTAATACTACTTCATCCTTCATTCTTTATCAGGAATCAAGACATCAATTAATCCGACAAACAGTAGGCCTATTTCACTTCATAACACATTTAACACGGCAAGGGAGATAACCTGTCAATCCTTTCGGCGGGAACAGACAAAGCTTCTGTCTTTAACGAGAATGTTAAATATTTATGTTTTCTTGTTAAAAAAAAGTCAAAATTAATAAAAAAATAAATAAAAATAAAATAAAAAAACACCGATTGATTATTCTCCCCGTTACTGTAACCAAAACGGGACAGCACCCAAAACGGAACACTTGGAACGCCAAATTAACATAGATCTCTATATGAAGGTACCACTTTTTGACAACTAACTGAAGATAGGTCCAATTTAATTGAAGGTTCAATTTAATTGAAGATAGGTACAATTGAATTGCAGATATAATCAATTTAATTGAAGACAGGCTCAATTAATTGAAGACAGGCTCAATTAATTGAAGATAGGTTCAATTCAATTGAAGATATATTTGTACATATCTATATATCTTTATATATTTAAAACGACGTCTTTTTTCATATCATAATTTGCAATAATATTATTTATCATATAATGTACTGTGTTACATATCAGCCCTTTGATTGGTTGTGAATTTCAATTGTGACGTCACGCCTATGATAAGTATATGACGTCACAGACTTACGCAATGGAGTCAAAACGGCGGCTTTTTACATTTCAAGGTTGCATGAAAATTGTCGCTTTACATTTGACGAATAAATGCCACAAATCTTGATTATGTGATAAAAATGATCTTACACTCGTTTTCATTTCATATGAGATTTACTATGAAACTCATCACGAAATTTTCAGTTTGGCTCGCCAGAGGCTCGCTAAAATGAAAATTTCTTAGACTCGTTTCATAGTAAATCCCATATGTGTGACCCCCTTGAACGCAACCGTGCGGACTAATCAACTTCATTTATAAACTGTTGTGAAATATTTCTACTGATCATGTCACACACTCTGATTGTTGCGCAACATTTGTCCCGTTACATAGCCTAAGCGCGACATTTTTCGGAAACTGAAACGGCGTATTGCGATTTTTTTTTCATTATTGATTCTATTTAACAAAAGCGTAAAGTGTTTCATTCTATTCAGCCAAGACTCATTCTTATCAGGACAAAATTAGTTTATTTCATGTTTCGTTATTTTACTACTATACGTCATCGAAGTTTCAATTTATGCAAAATGTAGATACGTCAAAAACAACTACTGGACAAATTTCGGAATTTTTAATAATGAGCCTCGACTTACAAACTGGTGGATATCAACTAAATGTAACGCCAATCACAGCTTATTGGTGAAATATACACAAATGTACATATCATCATCATCATCATCATCAATTAAATCATCATCATCATCGTCAATACAACAACAACAAAATCATAGCAGGATCGTCGTACAGTAACGTCACAATGTACATTATCAAGGTAGTTTAGGCATAATTGAAGTTATTTGCTCTTATAATTATGAATACATTTTTTTATCCTTTCCTTATTAGACATTACAGCAGACTATTCATTTTCATAACTAGTTTAACAAGAAATAGTATTTACCCAAAAAATCCTTCTTTTATTAGCTTAAAAAATATATCTAACTAACTTACGAAGGAATGGTTTACGGCAGATTTATGTAATTCAATCGTAAATCATTGTACCTATTTTAAGTTATGATTCATCTTCTTTATATGAGTTACAAATAGTACAGATTTTTTTTTATATCGTTAAATAGTTACATTTATATCACCCTGTCTAAATAGTTAAGGTATCATACGGTTCGGACAATCTTAATTTAGACATTTCATAGGTATAAATTGTGTCAAATAATACTGCACGGTAAAGGGATTTGCCAAATTTGGTTGAAGACTCAAGTAAACCAATACAATGTAGTTGACTTTAATAAAAAAAATCTTTTCTTATTAGACACAATATATACTTGTATGGTTATAGGTATAGTGTCTTGTCCAAACATCTCCGAAGCCACGAGAAAATAGGTAGCGTTTAACGTTATCTTGTTAAAAACAACAAAAACAAAAACACTCTGTCCACAGAAACTCTAATATATTTGTTAAGAGTCAGCTTGAAAGCATTTCGCTAACCATAACAATAGTCATTTATTAAATCTAATCATAAAAACAAATACACTGCACTCCCCTCCCCCCCC